CCTGCCAAATTATGGCGGGGTTATGGGGTTCCTCTGCTGGGTATCAGTGAGCAGCTGAGGGGACTCGAGTAGGGAGAGGGGCCATGGAGGTCAGGCAGTGACAGTGGAGGACGTTAGTGGGAGCAAGAGGTGAGAAAAGACGAGATTAGTACTGGGAGAGTGTCTGGCAGTGGTGCTGGAGACTGGCAAAGTCTGGTGTAGCTGGTTAGACCACAGCGGGATGAAACGGAGCTCTACTGGGCTGTTCAGGTGAGGAGCTGGGGTGAGGGTCATGGTGTGGGAATGAGAACGAGTAAGAAGGTTGGATGAGGAAAGCCCAGGATAGACACCGATAGAAGAGAACGAGATTGTCTGATGAGAGAAGAGCATGGCAAAAAGAATGTGCACACATGAGATCACAGCTCTCCTGCAGCACAGGGAAGGATCATGATGCTCCTGAGACTCCGTTTTTCTACAGGCAGCAAGTACTTGCAAAACCTCATGGTAAATTGAGAGTCATGTCCTCCTTCTCTACTCCTTGTCCGTACAAAAGGTGGCAGCCGGCTGCTGCTGGCAGCTAGTCGGCTAGTTCAGCAACTGAGGCTGTTTGATACATAGGAAGGTTCCAGGCTTGCTGATGTCCCATTGAAGTATAAACACAAATCCACATGAAATTATATGAAATATATGTAATAAGAGCATTCAAATTGTGAAATCAATCACTACAGGGGCAGAAAATGTCAAAATTAAGGTTGTCCTGGCAAACTTACTTTGGCCCCATGGGCTATATATTGTGTTGCCTTTGCAAGACCTCCCCCTGCCTCCACTGCCATTATCAACTTTTTCAAGGCAGATAAAGGACTTGCTTTAGGGATGAATCAGGACTGTACAGTTATGTGGTCATTGTCAATAAATTCCTTCCCTGATTTGTAGCAGAAGTTGGAAGGCATATGGCAAATGGGACCGAGGGCTGTGGAAGAGAAGGGAGGTGTTCTGAAGGGAGCTGGTACCACCTTCAGAGCTGGCTCTGACAATGCGTTCCTAAAATTTTTAGGTGGACTATTAATTGTGTGTTCCTGGTTGTCTGGGTACCCAGACTGTGAACCAGATGCCCCATTTTCTCTGCAAGAGAAGTCAAAGTTAGCTGTACTTTGACTATAAAAGACTCTATAATGCTCACTACTCTGAAAGATCAGTGCTTCACACCAAACACCTATACTTAGTGAAGTCTTCAATGCTGCAGATGGTATCAGAGGATTATATACCTCACCTCAGAGGCATTCATCAGATACTGCATTGATGAGCTCCACAGGAAAAAAAAAACAAACCACAACCCTTTGAAGAAATAAGCCATTCTGGATTCAGAGCTGAGTTTGTATAGTCCTAACAGCAGATAAGGCATAAGTCTGCACATTAAAAGGCAAGGATTAAATGAAAGACTGAATAACTTCTTGTTCAGTGAGCACTGTTTATCCTGTGCAGTGATTGAGGCAGGGGTCTAGTGGAAAAATAGTATCCAGTCATGAAATTAAAGACTTTGACTTAATGCACATAGGCAAGTGGGATTTGTGCAATGTCCAAGGAAACGTATCATGATCTTGAGTACTTCATTCTTCAATGTAAGATTCTGTATTGCTTGAATCTGAGTATAATTAATCATTCATGAGGAAGGAAAATACAGATATGTATAAAAGGAACATGAAGATGTACATTTTCTCCTTCTTACTGAGCAAGTGAAAGGACTAATTTACACTGATCCCAGTTTGCATGGTGAAGTCTCAGAAGAAAAGAAAGAGAGAACACTGTGCTCAGTGCAGCACTGCCACTTGTCTCTTTTGTGGAGGTTTAATACCTTCCAGGGTGCCTTATGGCAGCTGTTGAGAGATTCAGAAAATAGCACTCTTAAGTCCTCCAGTAGCTGCTGTAACACGAGAGGATGGAAATACGGAGGAGGTAAGGGAGCAGCGTGGAGAAGGGAGCCCTCCACGCGGAGGGCTGCTGCTTCATGGAACGAGCTGGAGCTTTCTGCCTGGCAATCTGCGCAGATCCTTTCTGGATCTTCTGTGCTGCACCTGCTGACGTACTTCCTAGAGACATCTGAGTTTAGTTCTCTACCCCCGGGGATCCTGCCTCTGGACTTTTCCAGAGATACAGCTTTGCATACTTTATTTTAGAGTTTTACCTGTGTGGGGTGTATGAATAGTATTTAACAGTATTTTGCTGTAGCCATGATGATCTCAGAGTTAGGCAAGAAAAGGTTTACAAGTAAGGGTAACGTATTTTATTAGAACAAGTGATGCAGTTAGAAAAATGAGGTAACTTTTAAGTACTGAAAAGGCTGCAGGATTGGCTTACAGACATACAGGCTTTGGAGCCTGACGTGTAGTATCCTGGCCCCACCTTCATTGTTCACCGTGTGTTATATGCCCATACGCATGATGCGTTATGGTGAAGTTCCTAAACTATAGAGGCGTCAATGGATGGTATGGAAATACATTTCAAGTGAAGACAGGTATATAAAATGGGGTCATCATGCTGCTCTGGCATATCATTTTATTGCTCTTGGAGCAGACTAGAAATGGACCATTAGCATTCCTGAAGGTCTCCCATTTGCTAATAAAGACATTTGTGCATTTCACTGTGCTGCTATGGGACCTTCTGCAAGCCAGCCTCTGCTTAATACAATGAGCAACATGCCCCAGCGAGAAGCAGCCCTCCTGTGAGCTTCTTCAGAATTTCCTGTGTCTTAATTTAGTTTGCACAGCCAGAAGATCAACAAAGGTCTTCCAGTGCAGAAGTGCAGACCTTCTCTTTGTAAAACTTCTGCTTTCACAGGAAATTTTGCTTTTGCAAATACCAGCTCATGAATCACCTAATGAAACAATTCAGAGCCTTTCTTTTTTTCAGGCAGAGATGCCATGTCAGCATTCAGAAGAACAAAGCATCTACTTTGTGTCTCACACTGTCTGTCAAGGAAATTTCAGTGAGACATCCAAAATATTTTACCAATATTTTACTTAGTGAGGATAGGGTGAGTTAAAAATTAAGCCACACATTTTTGTGCTATTATGTTCTCTTTGTTTTCTTTCTTTCCTTTAGAAGTTAGTAGGTGCTATTGTGAGAGATCAGTGGACCTTGAACAGGTGAACTTGTCTTATGACAATGTCCAGAATTGACAGAAATTTGTGTTCAGCGAATTTCTTCCTCTTTGTTTTATTTTTCAGTGTACAATAATGACATGCGGCTACTTATTTTGTCTAGGTGCAAAACGAGGTTGATAGTCAAGATGCAGACTGTGCTGAATGAGCAAACTCTGAAATTAGAAATCATTATTGGCTGGGCTTTTTTGCTGCTAGGTTTTAGGCTTTAATCCTAAACAAATCTGCCCTTTAGTACCCATCTGATATATGTCAGAGGATCATCTGAATTATAGAACAGGTATTTCCTCTGTATTGTCATTCTTCTTGCAAGTGTGTATTTCAGTACAAGGCAGATGGCACAGATTATTTTATATTCATAATGCATATACCTCTAGGAGAGCCGCGCCGCAGCGTGCTGATGCTGGCTGCATGGGTTATGTATTCTCGGGAGACCGACGCGTTCCGAATGTATTCTTTTGCCCTTTCCCCGTCATCTCATGTTTTGCTATGATAGAAGCACTAGCAAATGAAAGGCTTGTTATTGATTTCTGTGCAGATGTTAATAATTTCCGTGTAACTCTGCATTGGAGTGGCAGTAACTGATGTACAAAATTTGACATCATAATTATTCCATGATGGAAAGGAGGGCCACTAACCTGAGATACAGCAGCCTATTAACTCTGGATCTGTGGATTCAAAGCAGCCTTAGGTCACAAGTGACATGAGTGAGGCTGTCTCAGTGTAGTCTTTAAGGATGTTTGTTTGCTTCTCAAAGACACCAGACTGTCTTCAATGTAGCTGGAATCACACGTACTGGAAATCTCAGGAGAAGTACAATTTATGAGCTCATCAGACTTATCATAGAATAACATAGAATAGGTCATTAGCTGAACAGTGAGCCCCAAAAATCTGATCCCCAGCCACTGAAAGTATTGCTATCATTACAACAGTGAAAACAATTCCTTTAGCAATAGGTGACTACCAGGCTGTTTCTGTCTTTGCTTTCAGCCATATGTAACTATCATCCACAACCTTTAGTGTAGGAGAGACTCTCTTCAAAAGGATGCCATTTCCCAACTAACCATCCAGTTGACCTGTACACCTTGTAGCTAAAGTTCTATTTAAAAATTATATCATGCATTTCTGACTACAGGGTCAGATGACCACCACAGAAGCGTTGTATATGCATCATTATGCTGTTAAAATTCATGTTCTTAGTCCTGTCACAGACAGCCCCACAACAAGGCATCAGCATTTCAAAAGCTATCCTACGCTGAACAATGGCGTAAGAACAGAAAAACTGATTTCTGCCTCAGTGGAAGAAAAGATCTAATATGAAAAAGCAATTGTGTGAAGTCTTAAGGCTTAATTGTTTTGTATTTCACCAGCATCATCCAAAATTAATTTCAGTGATTTAACTATAATTATATTGAGTTACCCAGTGTCCTAGAAGGCAAGAAAAAATTTGGGTCCTCTAATCTAATCCACTACCCTCTTGTCCTCCGGAGCTGGGCCAGAGTTTGCTTGCACACTGTGCACTGGGAAAGGGCAGCAGTTTGATGTTTGCCGCAGCGGCTGCTTAACAGTTACCCTCCAGTGCTGGTCTGCATCTCTGTATTGGCAGTGGCAAGAGTGCAGAAGGGCTGAGGCCAGAAGAAGATAGAAAGGGGGAACTGGGAAGAGGAAAGAAGTTTAAATTGTAGTCCAGGGTCTTTCAGCATGCTTAGCTGCAGACACAACATAGTGCAACCTGAGGAAGGAAACGAATTAGGATTCCATTAAAAAGAGGAGAAAAAAGTCTTGCTGAGACCCAAGTCACATCACGATGGTCAAAGTGAAACCTTGCTCACTAATGTAGCCTTAATTCATTTTATTTTGCAGAGACAGCAAGCTCACTATGTTGCTTCGGGAGTCCTTGGGGAATATGAACTGCCGCACCACAATGATAGCTCACATTTCAGCCGCAGCGGGGAACTACGCCGAGACGCTGTCCACCATCCAGATTGCATCAAGGGTCCTCAGGATGAAGAAAAAGAAAACTAAGGTAAGACAACGTATAACTCCCTTCTTGTAATGGTGGAGGAGGGAGGAAGAAGGACCCTGAAGGATCCTTAATGGGGTAGAGCAGCACGTAACAAAATCAGTAATCAATTCTGGAGTGCGTGGGTTGTATGTACCCTGTCCTAGGCGAGTGCCTTAGAGCACATAGCAGAGACTAGAGGGGAAAAAGCTTCAGCTTTAGACACAGAGGAGTAAGTTCAGGTGTATCTGCTATAGCAGGTTTGTAAGCTGGACTCATTTAAAGATATAGCTGTCAGAGAGCATTTATTTTCAGTTATGCTTTTAGTGCTAATGAAATAATAAGGAATGAAACTGCTGTGGAGTTAAAGGAAATTTGGATTAATGAAGAATTATTTTCTCTATACTTCTCAGGGAGAGCAGGACTGAAATAAATGCAAAGCAGTGTGTCCATTACCAGCATTGATGTCCCTTTTTTTTCCTGACTGCTTCTAAATACAGGTGATAGATTTCCCAAGAAGCAGAGTGAGAATGGGCTGTATCCACTTTCGTGTTTTAGAGTCCTGGTTCCTTATGTACAGCCTATGGTGTGAATTTGGCACAACAAGTGAATTTCATGCATTTCATTTAAATTAACAGCCTATGGATTGACAAAACCTTTTTTGTCAATGGATTGAAGAGAGACAAGTGAAGGGATTCAGTCCACACACCATCACAACAGTGTGTCTCCAGAGACCTCTGAGTGCACGTTACACAATTACACACACTGGTAGTATGACCAAATGGGGATTGTCTTTATTTTCTGTGCCTTATTTATGTAATGAGTTTTCTTGTTCCTCTTCACATACACACACACAAAATTAGCAAAGCCTTTGCCAAGTATCTGAATTTGTTGGCCAGGCTCAATTAAGGGAGGGATCCTAATCCATTTGTTCAGTACTTTTTTCGGAAGTCTCATGATTTCAAGTGGGACAGAGAGTTGGGGCATTGGGTTCTCCATTGAACACTGTTGTGTGTTTGCTGTAGGACTGTGGATGAGGAGCTTCAGAGCTTTGAGCCTTAGTTTAGAGATTTCCCAGTTTAGATGTGACTGTGACCTTTTTGTGTATGCACTTTGTGCAAGGAGCTGTTTGCAATGCTGAAATGTCATGGTCTCTCTCTCTCTCTGTCTCATATTCCAGTACACATCAAGTTCTTCTGGAGGGGAGAGCTCTTGTGAGGAGGGCAGGATGCGGAGGCCAACCCAGCTGAGGCCTTTCCATTCTAGAAACACTGCTGACCCAGACTTCCCTATTTTGCATTTATCAAGTGATCCTGATTATTCATCCAGCAGTGAGCAGTCGTGTGACACGGTGATTTACGTTGGCCCCAATGGCACTGCCCTTTCTGATAAGGAACTGACAGATAATGAGGGTCCTCCTGACTTTGTTCCCATAGTTCCTGCTCTGCAAAAGACTAAAAACGAGGGCAGGTTGGAGGAAGTTAGTGAATCAGGGCCCAGCACATCTGAAAGAGACTGCCTGAAGTGCAACACCTTTGCAGAGCTCCAGGAGAGGCTGGATTGCATAGATGGCAGTGAAGAGACTGACAAATTTCCCTTTGAAGAGATGCCTGCTCAATTTACCTCAGACCAGATGTCTAAGTGCTCTGTCTCAAGCCAGCTGGCAGAGTTTAGCCACTTACCAGAGTCAGATAAGGAAGATATGATGCCAGAATGTCAGCATCCTGATAGAGAAGCCAAGGAAAATATAAATGCAACACCCAGCAAAACTAAGAGAAATCACTCCCCTGTCCCTTCTGGAGCTCTTACTAATGTTTCAACCCCTTCTTCTCCCAGGAGTGTGACAGGCAGCTCTAGTAAAGAGCTTAGCTCTTGTCAGTTAGCACACAGCACCAGCTTGCAGAGCAGCAGAGAAGGTCTCAACACCTGTGGATTTGTGGAAGGCAAACCTCGGCCAATGGGTTCGCCCCGGCTTGGCATTGCAAGCCTCTCGAAGACATCTGAGTACAAGCCACCAACTTCTCCTTCCCAGAGGTGCAAGGTCTATACACAGAAAGGAGTCTTGCCCAGCTCCAATCCCCCACCAGCTCCCCTGAGTAAGGATACTGGCATGACATCTAGTGAATCTTTATTGCAGCCAGAAATCCGGACCCCACCTGTAGGCATGAGCCCTCAGATCATGAAGAAGTCTGTGTCCTCCAGCAATGGGGATTTTGAAGAGACCGTTCTTGATGAAGATCGGCACCAAAGCATTTCTCCAGAATCCAAGAAAGAGATTCTGAGCACCACCATGGTGACTGTGCAGCAGCCGTTAGAGCTGAATGGAGAGGACGAGCTTGTGTTCACCCTTGTAGAAGAGCTAACCATTAGTGGAGTCCTTGACAATGGGCGCCCAACCAGTATCATCAGTTTTAACAGTGACTGTTCTGTGCAGGCTTTGGCCTCTGGGTCTAGGCCAGTCAGTATTATCAGCAGCATATCTGAAGATCTGGAATGTTACTCCAGTGCAGCTCCTGTGTCTGAAGTCAGCATCACACAGTTCCTTCCACTTCCAAAGTTGGGCCTAGATGACAAATGCCAGGATGATGGCAGCAGGCGCTCATCCATCAGCTCATGGTTGAGTGAGATGAGCACAGGGAGCGATGGTGAACAGTCGTGCCACAGCTTCATAGCTCAGGCGTGCTATGGGCATGGGGAAGCAATGGCAGAACCCCCTGTCTCCGAGTTTGCGAGCACCTTACAAAGTGCTAGCATGATTTGTGTAAGTGACAAACAGAAGCCAGTGACTGACAACATGCTCATACTGTCAGAAATGGGGGAGGAAGCTTTCGGCAAAGTGCCACCCATCAAAGGCTGTAAAATATCAGCTCTAGGGAAAACTACTGTCACAATCAAAAACACTGCAAGCCTCAGCAGCTGTGAAGGCTACATCCCAATGAAGACAAACATTACCGTATATCCATGTATTGCCGTTAATCCCTTCAAAGCACAAGACACTGATGATGCTGTACCAGCAGTAACTGCAGACCCAAAAGTTGCTCATCCCCATGATGGGAAAGAATCCAATGCTAAGAAGGATATCAAATTTGAAGACCCTTGGATGAAGAGAGAAGAAGATGTAAAAAAGGACAGCTCTGGGAGCAGTGATGGGACAAGACCTGACATGGCTGCAGTTTCAGACAAGCCTGAGCACAGCACAAAGCAGTCCTCAGTGGACAGGTTTAGCAGCAGCAGTGGGGACACCTCTATCTCTCCAGGATCTGACAGTCTAAAGAGGATTGTGGATGGGTGTGAGGTGGCAGCATCCAACTCTGCAACCCAAAGCCCTGTTCATTCCAGTGACGGCTTGAAGAATGGAAGCCTCCCTCGAGGGCTCCTGAAGGCAAGCAAGCCGGAGGAGCCTGACAGTCACCTCCATCCTACTGCTACGGACAGCAGCGGAATCGGCTCTCCTGCCCTCCCCCTGTTTTCTAAGACTAGCCTTGACAAGAAAATAGCCTCTCCCAAACACTGTGTCCTCACTCGTCCCAAAGGGACCCCTCCTCTGCCACCGGTGAGAAAGTCAAGCTTGGATCAGAAGAACAGAGCCAGCCCCCAGCACAGCGCAGCCAGCAGCACCACGAGCAGCCCCTCCAGCCAGCCCGGGTCCTTCCTGGCCAGCTTCCCCGAGGAGCTGAATGCCAAACAGAAGGGCTCTGCCATTGACAGCAGCAGCAACAACAGCAGCAGCAAGCTCTTCAGTGCCAAACTGGAGCAGCTCGCCAGCAGGACCAACTCCCTCGGGAGGTCCACAGGAAGCCACTATGAGTGTTTGTCGCTGGAAAGAGCAGAAAGCCTATCCTCTGTGAGCTCCAAAGTGAGCCCTGGCAAAGACACCACCATGCCTAGGGCTGGAAGGAGCCTCAGCCGCAGTGTCATGTCCTCACCCACCAACTCGGGCCTTTCCCAGTCGGCAGGTGCCTCCCCGAAAGCCAGCCAGTCGAAGATCTCCGCAGTCAGCAAGCTCCTGCTGGCAAGTCCCAAGGCCCGCAGCCTGTCTGCCTCTGCCACCAAAACGCTCAGCTTCTCGACCAAGTCTCTGCCGCAGTCCGTAGGGCAGAGCTCCAGTTTGCCACCGAGTGGGAAGAACATGTCCTGGTCAACACAGTCCCTCAGCAGAAACCGGGGCTCCAGCCTGGCTTCCAAATTGCCCCTGCGGGCTGTCAACGGGCGGATCTCCGAGCTGCTCCAAGGGAGCACCAGTGCCAGAGGCTTACAGCTGCGGGGAAGCTCAGAGGCAGACGAGCGCGGGGCCCTTCCTGGAGATGAGAAGCCAGCTGTTCACGTGCTGCCTTCACCTTACAGCAAGATCACCCCTCCCCGGAAACCTCACCGCTGCAGCAGTGGTCATGGGAGCGACAACAGCAGCGTCCTGAGCGGGGAGCTGCCTCCCGCCATGGGGAAAACAGCCCTCTTCTACCACAGCGGGGGCAGCAGCGGCTACGAGAGCATGATGAGGGACAGCGAGGCGACGGGGAGCGCCTCCTCAGCGCAAGACTCCATGAGCGAGAACAGCAGCTCCGCGAGCGGCAGGTGCCGAAGTCTCAAAAATCCGAAGAAACGATCAAATGCGGGTAAGCTTGCGGTGGTGTGAAAAAGGGACGCAGACCAAAGCGGATAACTAGTTCGTGGTGGGGAGGCTAGCCCTAAAGGTCAGCTAACTCAGTACCAGCCGTATCTCTTAACAGAGAAGCGAGGCCGGGGTAAGTGTCCTGGGCTCTGAGTTTCTTCATTTTGCAACATGCACAAGTCCTGTGGCGTTGCATTGCCTTTGCAGTGGAGTCTCCCCCTCACCCATTTCAATAAGGTTTACTTCACATGAACAGAGGAACGTTTATCCCTAAAACTGGTTAGTATTGCCAATGGCAGCCACGTTCAAATATTTATTTATACAAATATTCTTTTGATTTGATTCCAGAAAGATGCCTTTATGAGGCAGTGAACTGTAACTTATTCTTAAGCACGTTGGGCATAGACTCCTCTCTTGGTATGCACATGTTTCACCAGCACAAGATCAGAGTCTTTCTGAATAGCAGTATCTGTTGTGAGCCCACTTTTGCTCCTTGTGTGCTCTGGATGCCCAAAGGTGCGAGATGCCCTGCAGCTGAAACCACCGCCGAGTTCCTTCTTCCCACCTAGAAGACGGAACAAAGTTGTGCCCATGCCCCTTGAAAGATGTTATCCTGCCTCCGAGGCTCTTGGTTTTTTAACTTGTGAGTTACTTTTCCCAGTAATTTATTGAAAACAAATAATACATTATATTAATGATACTATTTGGGAACTACTGCACTGAAGCACTTGCAAATCTGAAACCTTTTTAGTGATCATAGAAAGGATCAGAAAGACTTCATCTTTGTTCAGATATAATCCCCAGTAGCTTTCACACTACATCAGGACTTTCTAATCAGATGGCAAGAACCTCCTTGGCCATACCAAGGGTCTGTGCAGTTGCAGCTGCAGGTACATCTTCCCACCAGAATGAGTTTCAGAGAATTGCAGGAACAGGGATGTGGAGCATCCATCAGCTGGTCACTTCACCTTTTTCCTGGGTGCTGGTTTCCCAACCTGAAGTGTGAGTCCTGCCTAACCTACTTTTGGAAAAAATGCACATTGGCATTGGAACTGGCGTGCACAGGTGTGTGAGATATCAGTGGCTGCTTATCCTACAGTAGCACTGGCTGTCCAGAATGTGTTATTCTCATAGAGTTCCTAATTCACCAGGCATTCCACTTGCTGGGATGCTCACCTCTGGGATTCATTTGCAGCAAACGAACTGAGCAATCCATAACTCTCCCTTTCTTTATGCTCTTGACTGTGGTAGCAGGAAGACACGTGCAGCACAGATGTGAATACAATAGATGCTGCTATTAAAGCCATCTCCATAAGTGCATGGCTGATTGTACCTGTTCAGAGAATGCATCTGAAAGTGATCACTCTACACAGTGCAAGAACAGACCAAGTGATGAAATAATCTTTCTCAATTTAACTTTGCATCCTATGAGAAAACCTCTTTCCTATCCCTTCAGTTTATGTGGTAATAAATTTATTTTACTCTTTCTGAGGAGCTGTTTCTCTAATAGCTCGTTTCAAATACAAACTTTTTAATAGTAACTTGCAAGAAAAAGAAGGATGATTTATATGTTGTGGAAAAAGAAAACAAAACTGTCCACAGAAATGGCATTTGCGGGTGTATACTGACAACTGGATTGTGTGTTGTGGAGAAGCTGCGTGTATAATATGGACTTTTCCACAGGACGTTTAGATGCAAAAATTTATCAAGTTCTGTGAAAACAGACAACTGTGCAGATGAGGGAACAGAGAAAAAATAGCAACGTAGATTTATCCTTAGTGGACAATAGAGAACATCCCCCCTTCCCTAGGAGAGATGCTTTAAAAAAATACTCTGAGAAAAGCTGCAGGCCAGAGCCTGTGGATTCTTTAGACTCCAGAGTTCAACCCAAACCTAAACCAGGATTTGTTCACTCTGATGCTCATAAAACTAGTTGTTTCATTTTGAAAGTTGTGATGTGACAGCATATTGGAGGCTGGACAAGGATGGAGATACGAGTGAGAAAAATATTGTCTTTGTGTTGTAATTATAGAAGAGCTTCAGATCTGTGTGTTGTGTTTTATGCCAGGGTTTTATTTTGGCTCACAAGTTTGGCTTTCAGTAACCCCTGTGCAGGACTGAACGTTGTGTCCGTGGCCATGAAAAGGGAGTTATGAAGAGAGGACTGTTTGAGACTCAGGTTTCAGGTTGCTCTTGCAGCAGTCTGGAAGACACACCTGGAGAGAAGAGGCTTTTCCATGGTCTAGCCAGCCTTGAGCCTACCTGGCAGAGCAGTGACACTGGTTTCTCGTGCTTTACAGGTACGCAAAGGCAGTGAGCAAGGGGGCAAGCAGGAACCTTTCCTTAGTGGGGAGCATGGGGAGTCTAAGCTTTGCTGCTTTTTTACTGCTCTGTAACATCTGACCTGTCTTTTTCACCAAATACAGCTTTTTTGGCTGACCAACAGATTAATCTCTTTATTCTAATTTCTTGTGTGAGTGAGTTCCTCTCTCCTCGGTCAGCAGTGTTGCAGATATCTACCTGTTGCTCGACCTGAATCTCTGGGGGGAGATTTTCAGCGGAGGGCCTGTGTCCCTGAAAGTTGCCTTCCCCGGTGGGCTCAGCGTAGCCTGGCCCATAGACCTCCCTCAAAGTAATTTACAAAGCTTCTCTCTTAATTCAGCCTGTCACCTGATGTGGAGAGGTTCTAAGTGTATCATCTCTGGTACTTTACTTTTGAGAGCGATTCCCTATATCAGCAAGCAATTCCTGTATTGTTTAGAATGACTTGTACTTGTATTTCTGTTTACGTACAAGCAGGGGTTTTATGCAAATTAAAAAAACCCAAAAACTTTACTACTTACCATATCTCTAGCAGCAAACCGCTGCCCAGAAATTAATAAGGCTTCACTTTCTTATAAGCCAGCTCCTGTTTACATTTGGTCCTGCAGCAGTGAAATCATAATTCTGTTTTGATGTGTTTGATAATAGTATAATTCACATGTCAGCAGATTTATGATGGCATAAACCCAGGATTATGACTTCAATGCAGGAGAACATGAAGGAGGAGCTGAGATGTAAGGGAGAATTGAGCTGTTCACAAATATATTTTTATTGCATAATAAACAAAAAAAAGCGCAAAGGTTTGCAATCTTTCATCCTCTGTAGTATCTCCTTTCTACAGGTCTGTTCTGCTGTGAATGTTCTCTCTTAAGGAACACTTTTTAATGAAAAAGATAGCAAACAAAGGTTCTGAGCTTTTAAAAGACAGATATTATTTTAATACATAGTGTCAAGAGCATTGGACCTTTCCTGACTTGCGGTCACAGATCCACTGTGCTGTAATGGATATGGCACTATAGATATGCTCATTTCAGGTCAGGCAACCTTGTCCACTTTATTTATGATTATTATTAACAGAAATGCTAGCTGTCAGACACGATCAACATGAATCAGCCCAAGGCCCCTGTAAGAGTAGCTATAAAGAGTCTTTAAGAGAATCACCAGCAGCCCTGTCAGATCTCACAATTACTTTTGAAGTTCTGACACATTGGAGAGACATCATTTTTTTCTTGAGATTAAGATCTTGTCTTTCAATGCTCTTAAGTGCATTATTTGTATGTGTAGGTGCATCTGCCCTGGATGTCATACATGAAGCATCAGACCTACACTGACAGCACTTGAAAGATAAAGCTAGTTCATATCCTTCAGTGTTAGCCTTGGGTTAAATTTTGGGCTCTGCCTGGGTACCTGTACAGTTCACAGACAGCCCAGTATTGTGTGTACAAAATTAAAATAAAATAAAAAAAAAAATATTTGCCTCTTGCATTCTGGTACCTATTGAGAAATCATGTGTTTACATCATGAAGCACATAAGCCTTTTCCCTGAAGCTAACCTATCCATTTAATAAACATTCCCATCTTTCTAGCATTTAACATTGGTCCTATAACATAATGTCAGCATGTATTGCCCCAAAGTGACTGCTCATGGCAGAAACCGCTATTTACCCCTGACCTACGGGTGTACATTTCAGAGCTTTTACAGCTGCTCTTCAGTCCACCCTGTGGTGTAAGTATTATTCCGGACCCCATTTTACAGATGGAGAAGCGGAGGCAGAGAACTTTACTGGCTGGCCCCGTGCCCACAGCTGAGAGCCAGGTCAGGGTTAAATTGCAGGCACCCTTGACTCCCAACCTCAGCCCCAACCGACTTGGCCGCGCATCCTCCCCTGCCCTTGCTGAGCAGTGGAGAGGAGGGTTTCCTTTGTTATTTTTTGTGCAGGCCCTTCCTCCCTCTCTGCCCGCAAGAATCCGTGCAACTCTGTTTTCTCCGATTTCTTCGCTCACTCCATTAGCCCTTCCCCTGTAAGAAGCAATGGGAGCTCAGCCGTATTCCTGGCTCTAGTCTCCCCTCTCTTGGGCAGGCAGGGCTGGCTTGAGCAGGGCACTGAAGTGTTAGGGCACAGTTTCCACAGTCCTCACTAGCAGCAATTAGATGTTATCTTTTAATTCCTCAGAAATTTCAGGTGCAATGGCCCAGTGCTGCTCCATGGAAAGGCAATGATAAGGCTGCTTTTATGGTCTGTATTTTCGTATGAGATCGGGAAATGCATTGCGACTGAGCTGCGTTTTACCAAAGCCGTATTTGTATCCCGGGAACACAACAGGTATGAGAGGGAGGCGGGCAGGGTGGCAGATTAGCACTTGTAAGTTCTCTGTTGTTTTCTCCGATGTGCTGCTGGTTCGCTGTATCACCTTGGGCAACTCGTGTAATTTCGCTGTTCTCTGCTTACCAGCTCATAAAAATAGATAATGGTGTTGTGAAAAAGTAACAGTAACAGAAAAAGTAACAAAGCGTTACCTATCTGCTTTTTGGTCTTCTGCTTTGGTTTTTAGCACCTTTTCCCTAGTTTAGTTTGGATGTACATGGACATTACTTTAAAATAATTTTCAATGCAAAACATGACTGGACGATGTCAGAGATGCAGCTTTGGTGCTAGCTGCACGTCCTGCCCACTGTGAGCT